TGGCATTAAGTCTTAACCTAGTATTTGAATGCAGCACTTGCTTATAAGAAGATGGTAGTTAGTTGCGATATTTGATTAGCTACTGCTCATTCTCTTATTAATATTTATATACAAATACTTTAGATTAATTATCCCAAAATTCATTTAATTTCTTATCATTTCTTTGCATAGATATATACCATTCTCCCGGTGCTTTATCAATTCTATTTTTTAAAATGAAATTTTCACATTTTCTTTTGAGTCGTGACTCGTGTTCTTCATATGCCAAATACATGTTTTTACACGAGTTTTATCTCACACTCGTGGCAGTGTGCAGCGGCTGCTCCATTTAGCCGCATCCTGTGCCCAGCCTAAACGAGAGACTGTCAATTTCAGCTGCTGCTGAAATTTGTTTTTAGTTCAATTTTTGGTCAAAATTCGGTGTCCGGCCGTGAAACTAGCGGCATCTACAATTCTGGCCAGGCCTGATGTGCCCGCTGCGGACGGGCATATTTTATATTTCACCTCTTTGCCATTTGCACAATATTTTGTTTGTGCTCTTCCCTTGATGACAAATTCCCTTTTTGAATTGGGCTGAAGTTGATAATGGAACCGAAACTGAAATACAGCCGCTGTGCTCCATTGAATTGGAATTGGAATCGGAATCGGAATCGCTTTGGGGGGCTCCGCAATGTCGCCTCTAATCGAAAAATTGCGCCACGTTTGTCGCACTTTTGTTAATTAAACTTGGCTGCGTTGCATTTTATTGTCGGCTCTCTAATTAGAGAGCGAAAGCGCAACAGAGCCGCACAGACAGAGAGAGAGAGAGAGAGAGAGAGAGTGAGACGGCGAGCGGCTGTTAAATTTATTGCTCAATTTAATGCACATTTAAATGTATTGTTTGCCCATAAGACAGCCATAAAATATGATCTATAAATTGAAATATAATACCATCATATATAAGAGCTGTCATATCAGAGAGTAAGAAAGAGAGGGACACCGGGAGGGATAGAGAGGGAGACATAGGCAGTCCAACAGCTGATAACCCTTGGCTGGTCCATAGAGTTCTCTTTGTACTTGGTTGTAGTACAAGCAGCTTCTACAAGACATAAGATAATTCATGGTGGGCTACGACTCGAGACTCTTTGACGCAGATAACAACAGAACACAACATGCAAAGCAGATAATTGTTGAGAGGTCGTTGTCTTTATAGTGTGTATATGCCTGAAGTGTGTGTGTATATAAAATGTAAAATTATATATTTATAATCAAATGATAATTGAAGCTATCTTAACTGTCTTATAGGTTGACATTGGTTGGGCAGAGATAGTAAAAATAAAACTAAAAGAATGAATCCAAGAAGTGAGGGAGATAAGAATATAATTGGCTAATAAAAAAACTGATTTAACATATTTATATTAAGTTAAATTAATATTTTTCTGCATTTGTGTAAGGCTTCTGAAATATGTTATATTTAATTTATGTACAAATATTTAAATATATGTGTTTGATTAAAATATAGAAATATTAAAATATTCATTTTTCACATTTTCATATATTTCTCTTGCTCAGAGATTTGCTTTATAACTATTGTCATTTGGCTGTTGTATGAAATAGTAAATATTTAAAAGAGTATTAATATAAAATATTAATGAAAATATACCAGAAAAATAATATAATGAACAAAAGCGGAAATTTAAGAAATGAAGTAAAAAGTCTTTGCAGTTGAGAACTGATTTACCACGCCTCTTAATGAAGATTATATTTTAATTAATTTTTGATTAGTTTGTAGAGTAAGTGAGCTTCAGCGAACGATATTTTCTTTTCGATTCTAACTTAATATTTTTATCTAGCAGTAGTCTACATATTTCGAACTTCAAATATCTCCAGCTTGAAGCGTTCATATGAAGCGTCGAGCAGCAAGAACTATTTTAAAACACAATTCTAAAATATTTTGTTAACTTCTTGAATAAGTATCGAAATTTTGAGGCAAAAATTATATGAAATAATTTGCAGAATGTAGAAAATAGAGCTATGTCTGGAGGTAGAGCAGGCAGAGCAATGTCTGGAATTTCATTAGGCTTCATTAGGAATTGCATTAAAAGTATTAAGCCTAAAAAGTTTTTAACTTGGCAAAATTTTAAAATTAAAAACAAATTAAAAATTTATAAATAAAAAAAATTATAAAACAAATAAATAAAATACAATTCAAATGAGTCTCAGTTTTAAAGCCTTGACTGCATTGTATTGGCTTTTGCGCTTCGTTCTTCGTTTTGCAGTTGCTCATTGAACTTTAACGTGTTGATGCAGCGCTTAAAAGAGCTTACTTGTTGATAGCTAACTAGGCTTACATTTTGTGTTGTTGCTGATAACAAAAAAGTGTCCTGCGGCGCAGTGCAACAGCAGCAGCAGCAAGACTAACAAAAACAACAAGCAACGTCGAACAGGAAAACGGGGCAGCTACTGCCTGGGCCTGCGCCTCTGCCTGCGCCTAAATATGAGGTAGCATTTTTCACTGTTGCTATTTTTACGGCGACACACACAGGCTCACACACACGCACACACTCGCACATGTGAGAGGGAAAAAATAGTAAAATGGAAACAAGTTGAACAAGTTTCCGACACCTTAGCACCAGCCAAAAAAAAAGAAGTGGAAAAAACAAAGTAAGCTAAAAAAAGAAGAGGAAAACAATGCCAATGTGTTGGGACTTTGTCTTCGCCTGCGTTGTCGTGGAAACCCACTCAGCGCAAGAGCTGGGCAGGAAGAGAAGCTTAGACTAGATGCCAGCTGGGGCAGTGAGCAGGGGACAGGGGGCCGAGGCACATTAACTTAGTTACCGCGCAGCACTTGGTGAAAGGGGCCGATGGCAGGGCACGGAGGGGGCTCAGGTAGAGCTGGTGGCATCTTCCTCTCCTCTACCTTTTGGCAATTCACTTTGGCTTTGGTCTTTTCGTAGATTTGTTGCCGATGACGACTGCCAAGGACTACGAAATAGTTGAGAAATGAGGCTGGGGCAGGGCCAGGCAGCACTGGCAAGGGGCAAACATCTTCCGGTCATGTGTGGGCGCTGCGGCGCTGTGGCAGCTCTGTCAGTTAATGAAAAAGTTGGCATGAATAATAAATGCATTTCGAGGAAAATTTGATGCATACAAACAAAAGTTTCGCATATATAGATATATGTATATGTATATGTGATGTGATATATAGCATAAATAATAAATTTTCAAATGTGGCAAATAATTTTGCAGGCGAGAAGTTGATACTGTGTCCATATGCGGCCTTGGCCTTAAAGAAAAACCAATACGAATTCAATATACTTCAGATACATATATAATTGTATATATGTATATGTATATGTATATATAGCCACAACATTCAATTGCATTTTCTAAACAATGCTCTAAATATAACTTTTCACTCGCTCTTCGAGCACTCGAGCTGCTAGGCGAATTGCCTAATGTATCTTTAAGTGCGCGATCCTCTGCAGCTAGGTAGATATACATATATGTATATGTATGTATGTGTGTATATACATATAGCGCTCCTTATCCTGGCAATGTGTTAAACATCTTTTAGCGTTGACAAAATTGCCAGGCAGCAGAGCCGTTGCCTACCCTCCTTTGCCTTAGCAGTGCAGCTGCAGCAATTAGAAGTTGCCTCGCTCAATAGGAAACGTATCTGACGGATGCGTCTCCAAAGTTGTTGCTGCTGCTGCTGCTGCTGATGGCGGCGCGTGTGAGCTAACAGCAACAAAAACAACAACAAATCTAATGAAAACAAAAGAAAATGCATTTGCCAACAGCAGCGAGGGAGAGAGGGAGACAAGACGAGCCGAGTGTTGAGTGATATTGTGTAAAAGAGCGTGGAGTGAAGAGAGGGCGAGAGAGGGAGAGCGAGAGCTGATGAGATTCAGTTAAAGAATAGAAACTCAGCTTAAAATATAAAAAATATATTAAAATAAAATAAATAAAATTAACAAAAATAAAAAAAAAATATATACAAAAATTAAAGAACTAATTAAATTTTAAAAATATATATTGCATACTTATTCCATCATAAATATTTAAAACTAATTTGTAATTGGCAATCAGAACATAAATAAAAATATTTAACTATTTAATTCAATTATAATAATAAAAAGTAATAATAATATGCTACTCGTAAATTTTTTAAAAATATTTCTGAAAATTTCAATAAAATTAAACCAACATGCAGAATTTATAAAATCAATATTGTATAAGAATTTAACATAAATATTAATTTAAAAAAATATATTTGAAAGAAAACTTATTTTTAAAAATGCTAATATATCATAATTATATTTAAATGTAAATGAATCTATAACATTTCTAGACCCCACTATTTCTAGACCCCACTAGACCCCACTATATTTCAATATAAATATCTGGTCATTTTATTATTTCTCATTCAATTCATAAAACCCAAAACAGGAAAATTGGCTCAAAAGTAACTCAGAGTATGAGTGAGTGAGTTTCACTCATTTACTCAAAACACACATTGTGCTCATTTACTGTGGCACACTAGCGCCATTTGACCATGCAGCGGCAATTTATTTAACTAATATGAGAGAGGGAGAGATTGCGAACGAGAGAGCGTGCCAGAGCGTAAGCATGGGAGAGCGGTTTGGTATTATCGTTAACTGTGTTCGGTTCTTAAACAAAACCCACCCGACGAGCACATGCGCCTCCTTCGTTCGTGACTGTCGCGTTTTACTCATTCGCTCTCTCCTTCTCTCGCTGTCGCGCTCTCTGCGTGCGTAAACTACACGTTGTATCTTCTTTGCAGTTATTCGGCTGTTGGATTTTCCTATCGGTCTACGGCCAGTTGGTTAGGCGAACCAAGAAACAGTTCGAGTGCGAGCGCCGTACGGTACGGACGTGTGAAGCACGCACAAAATTCAAATAAAAACCCACAAAAAAAAATCGCAAAGCGTTTCAAACGTTCAAAATGAGAGTTGAGAAATTGTAAGCCGAAAACATGAAATAAATGAATAAAAAATAAATAGTGAAGTGAATTAAAAATTAATGAAACAAGAAATTAAAGAATAATTCAACCAGTGCCGTGGAAAATTAAAAAAAAAAGAGAAAAACAAATTTATAAAAAATGTCAATTTCAATTAAAAACTGAAAACAGTGCGAAACGCGACAAAAAGTAACGTGAAAATTCAGCAAAACGCAGCCAACTAGGCAGCAATACAAATCCCCCACCCCGATCCCAAGCCAAGGAACATTCAATGGAGCTGCGGCTGCTTGTGCTGCTCAGCCTGCTCCTCGCTGGCGGCTGCCTGGGCGCCTTGCCGCCCAAGGATGCGAGTGATAAGAACGCTGCCAGCGCCATGCTGGGCGCCAGCGTCAGTTTGTCCAGTGATTATAGCTCGCTGCTGGCGGCGGCACAGCCAATGGCTGCCTCGTCGGCCCCGCCCGCACCGGTCCACAGCGGGCCAAGCAATCAGTGCACCTGGACATATAACGGCACAAGTGCCGTTTACTGTTCGCTACGTTTGATCGAACGCCAACCGGGCCTGGACTTACAAGGCGCCGATGGCAGCAGCCAATTGACCATCAAATGCAGCGATTTGTATCTGTTTGAGTCGCAGCTGCCGGTGGCTGTGTTCGCTCGCCTGCAGACGCTGGACGCGCTGCGGCTGGAGTCCTGCAAGCTGCTCCAGCTGCCCAACAATGCGTTCGAGGGCCTGAGCACATTGAAGGCCTTGAAGCTGAGCACACGCAATGCCGAATGGGGCCCAGCCAAGGCGCTAGAACTCTACCCAGACTCGCTCAACGGCCTGAAGCAGCTGACGGAGCTGGACCTGAGCGATAATAACTTGCGTGCTTTGCCCAGCGGCTTCCTGTGCCCCGTGGGCAATCTGCAAACGCTCAACCTGACACGCAATCGCATACGCACAGCGGAGCAGCTGGGCTTTGCGGACATGAACTGTGGTGGCAGCGGTGGCAGTGGCAGTGGCAGCGGCAGCGAGTTGCAACTGCTCGACGCTAGCCACAATGAGCTGCGCTCCATCACCGAAAGCTGGGGCATCTCGCGTCTGCGTCGCCTGCAGCATCTGAATCTGCAGCACAATAATATATCGGAGCTGTCGGGCGAGGCATTAGCCGGCTTAGCCTCGCTGCGCATCGTTAATCTGAGCAACAACCACTTGGAGACGCTGCCGGAAGGCTTATTCGCGGGCAGCAAGGAGCTGCGCGAGATTCACTTGCAAAACAATGAGCTCTACGAGCTGCCCAAGGGCCTGTTCCATCGGCTCGAGCAGCTGCTCGTGGTCGACCTGTCGGGCAACCAGCTGACCTCCAACCACGTGGACAACACCACCTTCGCGGGTCTCATACGGCTGATCGTCCTGAATTTGGCGCACAACGCGCTGACCCGCATCGACTATCGCACCTTCAAGGAGCTCTACTTCCTGCAAATCCTGAACTTGCGAAACAACTCGATTGGCCACATCGAGGACAACGCCTTCTTGCCGCTCTACAACCTGCACACGCTGAATCTCGCCGAGAATCGCCTGCATACGCTCGACGACAAGCTCTTCAACGGCCTCTACGTGCTGTCGAAGCTGACGCTCAATAATAATCTGATCAGCGTCGTGGAGCCAGCCGTGTTTAAGAACTGCTCGGACTTGAAGGAGCTCGACCTGAGCTCCAATCAGCTGAACGAGGTGCCGCGCGCCCTGCAGGACTTGGCCATGCTGCGCACCCTGGACCTGGGCGAGAACCAGATACGCACCTTCGACAATCAGAGCTTCAAGAACCTGCACCAGCTGACCGGCCTGCGGCTGATCGACAATCAAATTGGCAACATCACGGTGGGCATGTTTGCGGACCTGCCGCGCCTGAGCGTCTTGAACTTGGCCAAGAACCGCATCCAGAGCATCGAGCGCGGAGCCTTCGACAAGAACTACGAACTGGAGGCCATACGACTGGATCGCAATTTCCTCTCCGACATCAATGGAGTGTTTGCCACTCTGGTCTCGCTGCTCTGGCTGAACCTCTCAGAGAATCACCTGGTCTGGTTCGACTACGCGTTCATACCCTCGAACCTCAAGTGGCTGGACATACACGGCAACTACATCGAGGCGCTGGGCAACTACTACAAGCTGCAGGAGGAGATACGCGTCAAGACGCTGGACGCCAGCCACAATCGCATCACGGAGATCGGCCCCATGGCCATACCGAACACCATTGAGCTGCTCTTCATCAACAACAATCTGATTGGCAACGTGCTGCCCAACGCGTTTGTGGATAAAGCCAATTTGGCCCGCGTCGATCTCTATGCGAATCAGCTGAGCAAGCTGCAATTGCAGCAGCTGCGAATCGCTCCGGTGCTGGCGCCCAAGCCCTTGCCCGAGTTCTATTTGGGTGGGAATCCGTTCGAGTGCGACTGCACCATGGACTGGCTGCAGCGCATCAATAATCTGACCACTCGCCAGCATCCACGTGTCATGGATATGCCCAACATTGAGTGCGTGATGCCGCATGCCCGAGGCGCGGCAGTTCGTCCGCTGAGTGCGCTGCGGCCGCAGGACTTCCTCTGCCGCTATGAATCGCACTGCTTCGCCCTGTGCCACTGCTGTGACTTCGACGCCTGCGACTGCGAGATGACCTGCCCGCACAATTGCACCTGCTATCACGATCAGATCTGGTCCACCAACGTGGTCGACTGCGGCAATCAGCTGACCATGGAGCTGCCGCGTCGCGTGCCCATGGACTCGAGCATTGTCTACTTGGACGGCAACAACTTTCCTGTGCTCAAGAATCACGCCTTCATCGGGCGCAAGAACCTGAAGGCTCTGTACGTGAACGGCAGCCAGGTGGCATCCATACAGAATCGCACGTTCGCCAGTCTGGCAACGCTGCAGCTGCTGCAGCTCTCCGACAATCGCCTGCAAACGCTGCACGGCTATGAGTTCGAGCAGCTCTCGGCACTGAAGGAGCTGCATCTGCAGAACAACCAGCTGGCCACGATTGAGAATGGAACCTTGGCGCCGCTGGTCTCCCTGGAGCTGCTGCGCCTCGACGGCAATCGTCTGGTCACTTTGCCCATTTGGCAGCTGCATGCAACACACTTCGGCCAGCGACTGCGTGCCATATCGCTGGGCCGCAACCAGTGGAGCTGCCGCTGTCAGTTCCTGCAGGCCCTGACCTCCTACGTGGCCGACAATGCGCTGATCGTGCAGGACGCCCAGGACATCTACTGCATGGCGGCCCCCAATACGGCGGCCTACGAGCAGAGCAGCTCGTCGGCGGCCACACAGAAGCGGGAATTGGACTTCAATTCGACGGGCGCCGCCTGCACCGATTACTATTCAGGCGGCTCGATGCTGCAGCACGGCATTCCCGAGTCGTATATACCGCTGCTGGCCGCCGCCTTGGCGCTCATCTTTCTGCTCATCGTCATCATCATTGTGTTCGTCTTCCGGGAGTCGCTCAGGATTTGGCTGTTCGCTCACTATGGCGTGCGTGTGTTTGGGCCGCGTTGCGAGGAGTCCGAGAAGCTGTACGATGCTCTGCTGCTGCACTCGGCCAAGGACTCGGAGTTCGTCTGCCAGCACTTGGCCAGCGAGCTGGAAACGGGGCGACCGGCTTTGCGTGTCTGTCTGCAGCATCGCGACCTGGCACACGATGCCACACACTACCAGCTGCTGGAGGCGAGTCGCGTGTCGCGGCGCGTTGTCATTCTGCTGACGCGCAATTTCCTGCAAACGGAGTGGTCCAGGTGTGAGCTGCGCAGATCGCTGCACGACGCACTCAGGGGCAGGCCACAGAAGCTGGTCATCATCGAGGAGCCGGAGGTGGCCTTCGAGGCGGAGAGCGACATCGAGCTGCTACCATATCTGAAGACTTCGGCGGTGCATCGCATACGACGCACCGATCGCCACTTCTGGGAGAAGCTGCGCTATGCGCTGCCCGTGGACTATCCAACCTATCGGGGCAACAACTACACGCTCGACCACAACCATGAGCGCATCAAGCAGCCGGCCAGTCCGGGTCTGCTCTATCGCCAGGCGCCGCCGCCAGCCTATTGCGGACCAGCGGAAGCGGCAGCTGCCGCCGCATCTGTGGCAGCCGCTGCAGCTGAGCAAAACTATTCAACGGCTACGACAGCCACGCCCAGTCCACGACCGCAGCGCCGCGGCGAACGCGTCGAAGGGGTGGGCGTCAATCCGGGCGGACCGCATCATCTGCATGCCCAGTACTATCAGCACCATGGCATGCGTCCGCCCTCGGAGCACATCTACTCCAGCATCGATTCGGACTACTCCACGCTGGACAACGAGCAGCACATGCTGATGATGCCAGCTGCAGCTGGCGCAGCAAGTGCCGAGCCAGCACAGCAGCGCGCTCAGACCTGGCGGCCACAGCCCAAGCAGCAGCTGCAAACGGCACATGCGGGCACGCTGAATCCCAGCGCAGCGGTCAAGTCCAATGCTCAACAGCAGCAGCAGCAGCAGCAGCAGCAGGCGAGTGGTCAACAACAAGGTCCACATGTGCAGGCGTATCTGGTATAAGGAGAGATTCGGACAGACAGACAGAGGAAGCGAGGGAGAGGTGCATGCCTGTCCAGCAGTTGGACAGAGTGACAGTGATTTCTATAGGGACTGGTTCCTGGTGCATGATTTTAATTACTAAAATATGTGCGAGCTAAAATTAAGAGAGACGAGAGAGGCAGAGGGAGAGGGAGAGGGAGAGGGAGAGAGACACAGCAAAGGGTGCATAAGAAAGGGAGAGAGAGAGAGAGAGAGAGAGAGAGATAGTGGGGGCAGCTAACGTAAATTATAAATTCTGTCGAGAGTCCAAAATTTTGCAGTTATACAAAACCCAAAGAAAAACACACACAATAGCAAAGCCCAGCCACGCCCCACCCCGCACCGCCTCGCCCCGCCCTGCCCGGCCCCTGTTTCCATTCAGGAAATGCGCGCAGCGTAACAAATATTTTGTTTACCCAGTGTAAAGTCATTTTAGTGCACTGTATAAACATAAATCCAAGTACATTAAACACACACACGCACACGACCAACAGATACAAGCTGCAAGATACAAAGATACAAAATACAGTTGCACTCGCATTTGTTTGTATTCTCGTTGTGTGTTTATGTAAGAGTAAGAAGACGCATGTGTTGCATGTATTGCGCCGAGGCAGGCGGGCTGAAGCTGAGGCTGAGGCTGAGACTGAGGCTGAGGCAATGTCAAGTTGGAGTTGTGTTTGCGAGCTAGAGTCAAGTTTGTGCCCCCAAAAGTTGCAGCTTTGTCGAGCTGTAGAAAACTTTTCATTCATTCATTCGTTCATTTTCCCTTTTGAGCTGCCAAATGCGTTTAGTGCATTTGCCAGCACTAACTTTTTAATGTGCTTTTAATCAGTTAGAGCAACAAATAACAAGAACGAGATTTAGATTTATGAACTGAGCCGTCAACTTAACTGATTTCGTATCCGAAACTATGTAGCAAGTGTGAGATATTTGTGTAAGCTATTGCTTCATAATTTACTTAGCTATTTTCAACTCAACTCAACTATTCCCTTTGCTTTGAATGTTTTTGAAATTTAAAAACAATGCATTTTTTATTGCTATCTAAACTATAATTTCCTTGAAATCTTTACACAATTTCCTTTACTTTAAGCTTCTCTTAATTGTCGTTTAGCTTCTTCTGACTGAGAAAAAGGTTTCCACATCTATTTTCTATAGCTTAACTATACATAAAAATAATTAGAATTTCTCTTCGCTCTGCTCTGCAGTCTCTGCTCCCTTCTAAAAGCGTAAATCCTTGTATATAAGCAAAATAAACACACTGGATATGCCTAAAATAGTTATATATACCTAAATATATATGCGTAAATCTAAGTAAACGCCACTGCAGATACGTAGTCTCCTACAATTAACTCACACACAAGCAGAAAGTTTGAAATTTGTGTAAAGATAAAAAAAAAAGAAATCGCATTGAACAATTAGCTAGCAAACAACATATAAACTATGCAGTAAAGCTCATTTTAAAAACTTACGCTTACCAAAATATTCTAATAATAATACTGATACTTAAATCATAATAATAATTCGAATAGATGAGTAATAAATGGGTTAAACTTTTGCAAAGATACAACTACATGGCGTATACACAATATAAATACAAAATATACTAAAATATATGCTAAATATATATATGACTGTAAAAAACTAAAGAAAATAGATACTAACTGATATTATATATATAAACTATATGAGATAAACTTTATACACACACACACAGACACTCACACACAGGAGTAAATGTTTAACAACTGCCTATAGAAAGTACGACAAAAGAAATACCAACACTTAAGAGCATTTATTTCAAAGCAACACAGTAAAAGAAAAATATAAGAAATAATAAGGAAAATATAAGTACTTATATATATATATATGTATATGTCATATTTTGGATCGTAAACTCGCCTACTCGTCATACAACTTTTAGCAAAACAGTTTCAAACTAAGCAGCATATAAACAAAAATACATTAGAAAGAGCTAGCAGATGTTAGTTAGATAGAGACCGAAAGAGAGAGGGAGAGAGAGAGATAGGTAGTTAGAGAGGAGAAGCAAACACTTGTACCAGTATGAAAGCCCAAAACTGTTATTTATTTTTTATTTTGTATTATATTAAATAATATATGATTAAAATGCTACGTTTTAAGCTATGATTTAACGCCACTCTTACATAATGTACTCTATGGATAATTCAAATTCTTGTGAATAACTATTTATATATTGATATACATTATATATATACATATATATAATTGATATATATTATATATATATGTAACTATTATATACATCTATGTACGACAAAACAAAGATATTTTTCTGTTTCGCAAGCGAAGAAATGCAAAAAGAAAAATGAAATGAAAAACCTTTTTTAAAAACTAACAACAAATTGCATTTATTTTAGTGGGTTGAAGGGGATGCGGGACTGAACTATAAACTCTATTTTCAGCTATTTTGGTTTTGGTAAGTATTTAAAAAATATTGTGCAGAAAAAAGAATGCAAATTGTCTGCAGCAGACACTTTAACTCTGCGCAATTCATTCCAGATTTTCGATGAAATTAAATAAATAAAACTTAATTTTCTATCTACATTTTACAGAATATATATCTATATATGTATATATATATATTATATATATTGATATATATTTATTAAAAACGAGCTCCATATAATATTTACCTATATCTCTTTGGCTTGTACCATTTAATGTTGGGGCAGGTTTGAGGGCTTGTGAAAGGCTTTTGTAATCATGGAAAAAACATGGCGAGTTTTTATTTACACATTTTCATAATGGGCATTGAGATAGACGATGATGAAGTTGTGCTAGGTATTTTAAAAATATTCAGCCAGGTTTTTATTTCAGTTTTTTTGCTAATTTAATTCATCATGCACATGAGTTGCTGTTTTGTAATCCTCACGCAGTGCGGCAACTATGTGGAGCAAGAGCAGAGGTGCTGCCGCCGGCTGGGCTATGGCAGAGTGGAGAGCGGAGAGGTGCCAGCGATGCTGTGCTGTACGCAGTCGGCGGCCTGTCAAAGTCAACTGAGCAAACGTAACTCAGATACACGCCGCACCAAAGTGATAAATCATTTTTTGTTTTCTCCCTCGCTCTATCAAATATATATACATATATAAATATCTATATAATATATGTATATATGAGAAACCGAAATACAAATGCGCTTCGCATTGCAGACATTCATCCATGCCCCACTCTCTTCAACATAGTTCTACAGTGGTTGTTGCTCTGGGTCGGTCTGGTCCGACTGTCTGTCCGTCAGTCAGTTGGGCTTGCGGAGTGTTTGTCTGCCTAAATGACGGCATGTCTCTGCATCAAATTGAAGGGTAGCAAATACACACACTCACACACACACGCACACGCACACACAACTCATATAGTCGCTTAGACACATTCTCTATGATGGGTTTTTGGCATTTATGCCAAGCTCAGCCTCTCGAGTGCTACCAAAGTGAAAAAGAGCTGAGTAAGTAAGCAGTAGGCGCTACTTTTGATGTGCACAAGTTGGCGGCACAGTAGAAACCCACTAACGTGGAAAACATACTTAAAAACAAAATTACTTACCTTTGGTTGTGGCAAAATATTAAAAAAACGTAAATTGTAGCTTGAACTGCAAAAGAAATCTGCTCAAATGATGCAGAGAATCTCTGATAGTTAAAAGCTGTTACAATATAGCAATGATCAAGATTCGTCTTTAGCTGGCCGAGTGACTAGAAATAGTACAAAACATTATAAAATTCTGATTCAGTTCTTTATAAAAAGCAAAGCAACATTTGAGATTGTGACTTGAATTTTTATTGCAGCAATTATAAATCAATTGGACAATGCGATCAGCTGATTGCATATGCCTCCATTATGTGCTTAGAACAACGTACACTTGTTATTCCATATAGAATGTCATCAATGTAGTTTCTAAATAAAGCAAGACATAATGTTGTTTGATTGCTCAATGTAAATGCTAAATTTACTCAACTTGAAGAAAGGTGGATGCATTCACTGAGCCTTCAGAAAGCATATCTTAAAGTTCGCTGAAGTAAGTTTTGTTGCTTGTTTGCATTTACAAGCGTTTACGAAATGGTTTCAGGATCAAAATATAGTTGTCGAACATATTAAAATAAATAAATAAATAAATAAAATGTAAATATTTAAATTTATATTAAATATAATAAAATTTCAATATTTTTATAAATTATATTTATATAAATATTGTTAAGATAATATAATAATAATAATTATATAGTATATTCCCAAGCTCAGCCTCTGTTATCAAGTAAGTATGTCCCTTTGTATTAGTTTATATTGATTATGACAAATATTTAATTTTAAGTCCAAAAAATGACTAAACAAATTTTCTGTGCAGAGATTGAAATAATTTTTTCTAATTATATAGAAATATATATTTAAAATTGTAACTCAAAGAATTTTATTAAGTAATTAATTACGATTACAGCTTTGCTAGCTGTCTGCCCCTCTCTCTGAGTTCGACTTTACAGCAACGACTACTTTTGCTAAAAAATAAGGCTAGAGCAAAAAGAAAAAAATGAAACAGTTTCACTCGTTTTGCAGGTTAACAAAACGATTCTTGAAATAAATAGTAAAAGAGGGGACAGCTACCGGTGTTCGTGCGTTTGTTAACTCAATGGGAAGCCCGCTTGCTCTTCTGCGCTTGGCAAAAGTTTTTTAATTTGCTTTCATTGAGGTTTGTCGCTGGCTGTTTGCGTCAAAAGAGAGCCGAGCCGTGCCACACTCATACACACACACACACACACACACACTCTACAACACACAACAAACTTGCAACAACTAATAGAATTACACACAAAAACCTACAAAGAAGCAGCGCATGCATGAGCCCCAGACACTCACGCAGGCTGTGGAACCCTCCACTGAACGTAGCTATAAATGCGCGTATCTAGATACAAATGGTAGAGGACGTGAGCAGCTACTGTGCTGGCAGTTGAAGGAAGCTTCTCTTTGTGTGGAGCTGCGGAATTTCGTTGTTGTTCTTTACGTAAAATTCATTTAACAATTTTCTTAATTGTTTGCAGATACGCATCTGCTGCTCAGTTGCGCTACATTCGCTTGGCACACAAAATCAATAGCGACCGAATTAGTTTCACGCAATTTAAATCAATGTTGGCAAGA